CTTTCTTAAAATAGCGCCAGCTTTTACGTGAGCAATTAGCGCGGCAAAGAAATTGAAATAATATTTTTAAAACTTTTTCTAAATAAATTTGCTTAGCAAAAACATCTTCAACTTTTACATTCTTAGCAAAATATAACAGAAATGGTTAATGGATTGCCACATTTATCATTTTGCAGAAATTTGCCAAATGCATGTGAAACTAAAGGCTAGAAATGAAAATTTATTTTCAATTTATTTACGACAAGTTTTCATTCACACAAAGCAAAGTTTAGCGCAAAAGCTCGGTATAGCTCACCTTCCCTGACTCTCTCACACACACATACTACTTAAACACATATTTTTCTAATGAAAGGAAATCAGCGAAACTTTAGTTGCACTTTTGGACGACGGCACACGCAACCAAACAGGGCAAGTTCGTTGTTGTTTTCTTTTGGTAAAACTTTCTGCCGAAGCTAATCTGTACGCAAACATGTCCGCAGCCACGCCACGTTGCCACACCGATAGCCATACCGAGATTGGTGCAAATCTATTTGCGGAAGCCTGTGGAATGTTCTTTTGAGGACCGAAAGTTTGTCCAGCATACATGCTTGATTTTCTCTTACCTCACTTTCACGCTATTGATAAAGGTGTTAAACTGAAATGTATCAAACTTTTCAAAATGGTAGCTAGTGGTGGAGGTAGGAAAATTGTAGAAAGAAGTCTGTTTTTAGAAGATGAGTGGTTGAAACACAAGTATCGAAAATGGAATATCTAACAATAAGAAAAAGTTGCTGATTTTTGAAAACAATATTTTTCGTATTTGTTTTTATTAAATATTTCATATTTTTAAATTTTGAATCAAAATTATCAGTAAACTTTCCATTCTTCCTTCAACCATTCAAACACGAAATTACCAATCTTAACTGCATTTTTCTTTCATTCTTGGTAAATCAAGAATTTACGTTACTCTTCTGAGCTATTTAATATTCAATCCTTTCTTTGCTTTAACTCTTCACTGACACTTTTGTTGTCTTTTTCTCTTATTCGTGAAATTTCAGTTCATTCCTCCATTTGTTTAGCATTTAGCATCACTATCATCTATCCCTTCACTCTGGCGCCTTTACTGTAATTCTAGTGTAGTTGTCCGTAAAACTTCGAAAAGTTCTAAGTTTTACTAACATTCTCAAGTGAAATAAATAGCAGATAATCGGTGAGAGTAACTATTTTTTAATGATAAGCGTGAATTGTTTAAGAAAGAAAATTAAATAAAGTGAATGAATTTATAATCTTTTGATGCAAGAATTTGTTATCTTCCATCCATCTGCATAAATATCTAATATGTTGTGCAGCTATGACCATGCTCTTGCGCCAACCATATAGTAAAATATGTGAATAATTTTAGAATGTTAGATACAGTTACAATAGTTCTTCCTTCCAAAATCTTACCCTTGTTTTGTATAAACTTTTCTTTATATAACATAGCCATTTAATTATCCAAAGAACTTTAGTCCAACGATCTCAGTTTAGTTTAATGAGGATAATGACCATAGATAATTTATATACTGTATTTGCTTTTCATCGCAGGTACACACTGTAAGCATTTTATTAGTCTGGTTTTCTGTTTACCTGTACAAAATTTCTATTAGCTAGTTATGGCATTGAATGTTTGTCTGCTTTGAGAATCATCTGTAACTGTTGATGAGATTGCAATTTGCAGAGAACTTTCTAGATTGATACGATTACAAACACCCAATGAGAAAATATAGTGTCAAAATTTAAAAATTTTCTATGTTGTAATTAGGCATAATCAGCATCTGGTTTCGACTCCTGTTCCGACTAATCGTAAAACAAACAATATTGGTTCCTCAGAGCGAGCCATATCTATCATAAAATCTGGCTTTCAACTTTAAAGTTCTTTCTTAGTTCTAGGAAGATAATCATTTGATACCACTGAAAGAAACCAATACGTCGAATTGACTTATCTTTAAAGATTTTAAGAATGTCGAAGATTTTTAAATTATCTGCTTTTGACGTTCATATTATTTCATTAATTTTCAGTCCTATGAGATGCACATAATTTTAAAGATAACTGAGCAAACTTTACTGAAGTTGCACCGAATAAAAATGAAATTCTAAGAGCGTTAAAAATAAGTATCTTACTGTATATTATATATAGAGTATATTATCATACTCAAAATTATGCTCAAATTAAGTTGGTTTTGTTAGCAAGAAAGAGAGATAACTCATCACACTTGGATCATGAAGACAGTCCCTTATGAAACCAGATAAATACCCTTTTCAAGAAGTATAACAGTTTTCCTACTGGGTAATCAGAAAGCATTCGTTCTTCGACGCAACACATGCAAGCATTTCACTCATATACTATATTCAAATATGTACCTATGTATAGTTGGTATCATACAAGTATATATGGCGTACTTGCGGTAGTTATAATTCCCATCTATTGACACTTCTCATTCTTCCGTGAAAAGTCATTTTGCAGAATTTGTTGGCTGCAAGAATTTTTCTTTTCAAAATTGCTGATATGAGTGGGTCTAAAACAATTGATGCAATTAACCGCTATATGAGTGTGGCTTATTGTATGATTTTCTTCAAAGTTGTTTGCCACTATATATAAGGCAAGCTTGCAGATATATGGGAATTTCTTTGAAAACTAATTAAGCAGCTTTCTTCACTTTATAGAAGTGTGTGATTTTGTGTCGAAAAAGAGCATTAGTGGCAATTTAAAAAAAATCAATGCATTTATATATGGCATAGGGATATATGAATATATGGCTTCGAAGAATTTATTTGTTTTTTAATTGTGATTCTTAGGTAAATCATATTTTTTGATAGGTGTGATTTTATAGAAAATATTTAAGAAGAAATAAAAGCAATATTTTTTTAAGGTGAAAGAGAAAGTGCCAAGGATAAATATTTTAACAAAAGAAGTGAATTATTTAATACCAGGAAAGTATATGTTCATCAATACAAAATTTTAAAATGTAAATTGGTTTCTTTAGAAATTCAGTTTCCACTTAAAAATATGTTGTTTGCACGTTCTGTTAATATTTTGTATGTATTTAAAAACTCGATTTGTTTTGCATTTTTACGTATGTTTGACACACATTTGTTTGACATATGGTATATTTGAGAATATATTCCGAAAATTTCATGTTGATTCGACAAATAATTTCGGAGAAATTTAAATGCGTTTTCCTTCAAACCCTTTATTCCCTCTTTTTTCAGAGTCGGTGAGCGATTCCTCCAAAACTTCAGGACAAATTGTGTTGAAATTTTCGTACGGCCTTCTTAGCTATATTTGTCAAGTAATGATCAAAGGAATACAATTTCTAATATTAATTTCGATATTTTAAGCCACTCTGAAATGTAAACTTTTCACTAAAAGACGAATTTTGCTTGCGAAGTTTAACACCTGTATTCATCTCAGCAGTAACAACAACATTTTTTTGATTTTTGGACTTGCGATCGTTTAAATAGAAAAATCTTCCTCAATTCCAGACATAATTTTTCAGAGGTCCTCCTGAAGTTCGGCAACGGCATCAAAGGAATCCAAAAGTTAATTGTTTAAAAAAATCGAAAAAAAACCTTCGATTTCATTGAAAGTAACCGAGTGGATTTCGCTGTTACAGTTCAAAAACTATAGTTTTGGGAAAATCGCGTTTGACGTTGCTATATGCTCTCGAACGTTTCAGAGCGACCGAGAATCTTTTGCTAGTTATCGAATAACTCGAAAAGTATTAGTCAGATTTACTTAAAATTTTCAGAAAATTTTTCTTAGAAATTGCAAATTTTTTTATTAAATTTTTGATTTTGTTTACCCTTAACCCCTTTAATTAAATGACTCTTAAAAACAAAAAACAAAAAATCCAAAAACGCTTTTTTTCCCTGTAAATTAATTTTAAGGATTTCTTATTGACTTAACAGTCTTTAGTCAGTTAAAAAAACGTAGCAATTCCGGTTACACGCTCCCCTTTGCGATGAGAACTATATATTCACTTTTTAAAGAAACAAAGAATGTAAAAAATAATAAGTGGATAGACATAAAGATTTGATTATAAGAAAGTGCGCAATTACGGAGCTTTTTATAAGCTTTAGTTTCAATTGTTTACTGTAGTGATGGGTTTTGTTAATAAAGTCAATCTACATAAGCACTGATCTCTCACTACCTCTTACATAAATAAATGTGACATAACTCTAAGCCCTCAATCTCACATCGAGTCCCGTCTTTTATATCAGCTTTTTGCTTCTCTGCTACGAGTATTTCTGGTGTGTATCTTGGCAAAAACTGAAAATTTTAGGATCCTCATGGCTAAAGTCGTTCGATTATTAGACAGTGTCTGTTGAAAGACGACCACATTAAAAAAAAAACACTTTCAGTAATTTTAGTTTTCAAACTATTCCAACTCAAAAGTTTTATAATATAGAGAATGAAAAAAATATATAAAATTTGTGATATTTACTTTTGTAATCTCCATTCTTAATACCTAATGCTACTTAACTCTTACTTTTTCTCTCTTTTCTTTACTTATAACTTTTTTGGACCGACAACATGACAGTACGAATGCAGTCAGGTGGGTTTCACAGTCTATACTTGATTGATAGAAAATTATAGAAATTGAGATACGACAATTTGAACCGTTAGTTTTCTTGGAGTGCGTTAGTTAGAAAAAAAAATTAGTTTGTGACCTCATGAACAGAAGTTGGAAAAGCCAATAGCAATGAGAGTTTGACATATATGTTTGTACCGTGTCTTAATCGGAGGCTTATGCCATGTTGAATACGAGAAATCACAAAATAAATTAACCCGTATTTAAAAAACAATAAACGAAAATATTTTCAAAAATAAAAAACTTCTAATAAATTTTTGAAATTGTTTTAAAAATCTTTTCTCTAAAAAGTTTAATTATTTGAAAAATATAAAAATAAAAACTACCATAAATAAGTTTAAACGCACTCTATTTACTGAAGCCCAATTATACATTAAAATTTAATTTCAGGTTTCACTGGACTCCGAACGACCCATCGTATCGGCCTGTCGCAATGGCAGTAATAACAACGGTAATGGTAGCAGCGGTGGCATCAGTGGCGGCAGCATGAATAGCACACATAAAAGTAGTTTTATGCAACATCATCATCATACATCGGCGCATCCTCATCCGCACCAGCGCGCGCGCGTCGCTCACATGTCGCACTCGTCGAATAATGTGTTGCGCGCTAGGCGCGGCGTGGTGCGCATGCTCATCATTTTCGTATTAACATTTGCACTGTGCAATTTGCCATATCATGCGCGCAAAATGTGGCAGTACTGGTGAGTGGTCTTTACATACATACATTTTATATATAACAAAAGCAATAGCGGTTGTCAAAGTGAGAGAAAATTATGCAACAACACACTTTTGCGGTTCATTAAGCAGACTTTCGGGGAACTTCTTACTTTTTTGCCTTGCGATAATGCGAAATTTATGCGCTGCACACTTCACCAAATTAGAATATAATATTGCGCAAGTTGTTTGTATGTCAATGTGCATTAGCGTTGCAGATAAAAATGCTAATGCAGACAAACTACTGTGCGTAGACTAACAAGTTTTCAACTCCTAATAAGTCAGCCTTAGCTGATTAATGAATTCTGAGAGTTGTGCGACATATTTGGAAGACATATTAAATATAATAAAAGGAAAACTGTGACATTTGATAATTGGAAAATATTAAAGCGTATTGGATCAAATATTATAAGTCAGCGAGTAAACGTATCGTGGACCATAAGAATTTATTTCCTACATCGCGAGAAGTTTATATCGCAATTGGGTGCAAATTATTATTAGAATCAAATAAATGGTGGCTATTAGACTTTCGTGAGATCTTCGAAATATGTTGGCACTTGCTTGTTCATTATTTCATTTCCGTTAACTTCAAATCTAGTAGTTATAATTGAAATACTTCTGCCGAAATTATTTCCATTGGACAAGTTCTTCAGAATACACTAACCGATAGAACACCTCAAAAGCTTGTTTTATTGCATATATTTACAGCAAAAGTATTATATGGGACCAACTCGTGGCGAGAGATATTTTTGAATATCTGAATTATCGAAATATTAAAACAAAAAATATTAATTTTATTTCAAGTTTGTTGATTAAAATACTCTGTTTTATAGGATGACTCGTTCGCTCGATTATATAACAATTATAACATAAATTTGTATAAATTTTTTTTTTTTTTAATTATGATTAGGGCCAAAGAGCGAACTATTTTTAAATATATTTGATTTAAGTTCATCTCAAAATTATTATTTGTCGATTTATTGCAAAAATCCATTATATCCATAGCCTTATAATTTCCATGTTGTTCGAGGTACTTGTATTTCAAATTACAAAACTGTTTTGTAAAAGCAAAATATTACCAAAGACACCACACAAGTACAACGAAGATTCTAAAATTTCAAATAATAATTATTAATCAGGTCTTTACTGTATTCAACGAAGCGTAGAAATGTACAAGACACTCATGAATGGGTTACATTGAGTAGCCCGAAAATAAGAGCAACAAGCCACGAGCGCAAAACAGTCAGAAAACGGTATATATTTTTGCAAACAGCCAAAGCAAAAACCGACAGAAAATGAAACTGCTTGACAAAATAATTAATGAACTGTAAATAAAGACAACTGGCTGTAGTCGGAAAACAAGTGAGCAGGTGAAAATAACAACAACAAAAGCAGCAAGCAAGAAGAGAAAGAGCAATTTTGGATTCACCATAACATAATGCAATGGACACGACGCCAGCGAGCAACGCAAAATGCACAAGTTGCAGCATGCAACTCTTGTTGTTGTTTGTTTCCTCCTTTAGTTGTTCCTTGTGGCGCGGAAGTGAACAAAAATTTCATTGGCGAAATGAATTCATGGCTGACTGACTAAGTGTGCTACTTCGTATAAATGAGCGAATAAATAAATAAATGAACGAATAAATGTGTGCATGAATGGGAGAGTGAAAGAAATGTTGCGCGACAAATGAAAATTTGCACCATTTTACTTACTTTTGTTTGTAATCTGGGCACGGTGCATGAAATGAGCAGGGTGATGCATGGAGTACAAGTTTTTAATTTTCAGCTGAAAAATTGTAGAATTTCTTATTTGCAGTTTCCTATTAACCATTTAATGAAGATTTAAGAAATGAAAATAGAGAAGTAGAAGAAAGCGAAATTATATTTTTATAGATAATAATTGTGGTTGTGGTTAGTGAACGCAAATCGGCGTTGGCTGCGGGATAACATTTTTTACTTTAATACAAATTTAATATCAGTGATGTTAGCATGCTTTTTGTAAAATTTAATAAAAAAAAATCCATACAAGAATTATAATTTAAATGGTCAGGTATGGCACCTATGTGCTATAGTGGTCCGATATCGGTGGTTTCGACTAATAAGCAGCTTCTTGGCGACAGACGAAAGTTTACAAGACGGACATAGCTACATTGTAGCAAATTTAATACATCTTGTTCAGGGTAGAATTTAATTTTATTTTATTTATTAATTGTTTTAAATTATAATTAAAATAAACTTTTTGAAATACTTTTTAATTTTTGTACAAAATTTGTATTAAGAAAAAAAATATTGAGAACTAAAAATATAAAAACATTAAAATAAGTTATAATTATTAATTTAATTAAATAACTTAATTTTTTAATTTGTATAAAATTTATTTATTTAAATATCTTCATAGTTTTTTATTCTTTTTAGTTTTTCAATAATAATTAGTTTTATAAAATTTAAGAAAATGTGAAGTACTAATTAAAATAAAAATTCATCTTATCTTAATTAAAAATTTTAAAAATAAAAAGATGTATATTAAATTCTTACATTTTTGTTTCTTGAATTTATCAATTTAAATTAAAATATTTTTTTTATTCTCCTTAATATATTTGCAAAGTTACTAATTAAAATAAAAAAGAAGCAATATTTCAAAGAACAATTAATTTATTTTATGGACATTAAAAAATAAGAAATATTTTTAAGAATAATTAATTTCTAATAAAGAAGCAATATTTTAAAGAAATTAATTATTCTTTAAAAGATTGCTTGTATTTTAATGTCAGTAAAATAAATTGCAAAAGAAAAAATTAAAAATAAAAACATTAATTCTAACTTTTGTATTTATACATTTTTTTTATTCAAAATTAATATTTATATATAAATTAATATTTTTCAATACAAAGTTTAATTAAAATTTAAAATACAATATAAAAAAAAAATAAATTTTTGTTTAGTATATACTATTCAATTTTTCTAATTTCAAAATTTTAATTTACTTATATTTTTAGTTCTTTACTTTTTTTAAATTTATTTTATTTTTTAAATATTTTTTTTTTAATTTTTAATTTTTTTCTAAAATATTTTAAAACCTTTCTTTTCGTATCACCTTTAGAAATTTTTAGTTTATAGAAATTTTAGACTTCAGAATTTGATAGCATGTTTCAAATAAAATGCTGCTTAATTTTTACGGAATTTTTTTATAGGAAATAAGTTAATTAACATGGTTCTAACGCTCCTTTCCTTATTTTTAAATAAAACCTTAAATCATTTACATATTCAAATAAGCTGCCCCATTCACTTTATACAACAGTTTATTGCTAAAAATATTCTCAGTGAAATTATTTATGCACCCTACCATTGAAGTACACTGGCTCAAAAGATATACCAGTATTTGAAATTCTTTTTCAGACTTTTGAGAGAAACTGTGTTGTTACAAATATTCGTACATATTTATGTATCTACTTGTATAGGTTGTACGAGTTTGCACAGTCCTTGCTTGCTATCGTTTTTTAATTTTTTTCCTTCGCCTCCTTTTGTTTTATATTTCGCTTGCATTTCGCATTAATTCATTCACCTCTCATTGCTTTTGATTATTTTAACTCTTTTATTCATTCATTTATTCGTTTATTAGTGTTTGTTTGTTGCTTTTCGGCTGCCTTTTGGTGGATTCACACCTGAGTAATTGGATTTAATTACCCAGTAATTTCACACAATTAAGTTTCAAGTGTGGCTCGTCATTGACAGCCGCTGGTTCGGCGCTCACACTTTGACATTTGACATTTTCCTACTTATTATGTGTGTATTTGTGTATTGATGTACCGTGATTTTGACTGTGGTATGTAGGAATAACGGCTGTGGAGTTTTCATTCACATTAACTTCTATCTTTATACTATATATTTTACTAGCATAAATCGGGATATAAGTTTTAAAATGTGTATTTTTTGGGAAGCTTTAGAGAAAAATGCACTGCTTTGGATATTTTGTCATTGTTAGTAGACAAAACGAGTTATCTTTCTAGAAGAAATAACGATCTTCTAACAAAGGATGGAATATCGCAAATTTTTATTATCATCATCATTGATATCTATGAATCTTCATAACAAATAATCTCATTTGGAAACCCCAATAAGATCTGCAGATGTTGTATAGCTTGTCTGATTAACTGATGCCTATCTTCACTTGAACTCCAGTCACCTATTTAGTCTAAATTTAACTTGATTTTTAAACAACAAAGACGATTCTATATTTAAAGAAGTATAGTTGACTAAAATATTCTGACAAATTATGTAAGATTTTCTGATCGGCGTAAAGACTTTTAAACAAGATTCCTATGCTGATATTGTTATAACACGTCCCGTAGGATGGGATCCAATTCGGATTAAGGATTTTGAAAGCAAATTCTTTGGTTGTTAATGTTTTGAAAAGCTCCATAAGATGAAATCCTTTTTGTTCTAGTGAGAAAATATATCTTAAATGTATGATCCTGAAAACTTTGGGTTAGCATTTATTTCCAAATCTAAGAAAGATCGCTTATGAACTTCGAAACTTGAGTTAGAAAAAATTAGCTCTATATGGAACACGTTTTTCAACAAGTTTTTTTTTTTTTAAAATATTAAAACGCCCGTTTTCTTTAGTTCCGTTAAATTCCAAATAATTTTTAGAATTATTCTACATAATTTTAAAGTTGAACATGAAAGTTGTCGAAAAAAGGAGGGAGAAAAAAAGCAAATGCATATGCTCTTGGCTAAGTCACCCTGTCCAACTTATCCACTCTAACACATAAACACAGTTATTTCATACACTTATACATAAAATGTTGCATAATTGCTAAGTTTTCAGGTGTGCTTAGGAAAAAGTGCATTTTAAGGGCATTTGAGATTTGAAGTAAATTATAGAAAAACGCACTTTAGTGCCATTGCGTCTAAGTTGGAAATTGCTGGAGAGGAGTGCATAGCGGCAAGTGGGTCGAGTAAGCATGTCAGTATGGACATTCGGACGAGA